GTATATTGCCCATCGTATGAGGATACAGGCATTCTCACGCCCTTATGGTGGAAATGTAAAATAATGCAAATTTACATAATGACATTTTGGATTCTTTAATTTAAAAAAAAGAAAAGAAAACATTAAAAGTGCAAGTTCCTTGACCCAGTGCACCCGCTTCTAATAATGTAGCCAAAAGAGATGAAAAAAATAACAGAGCAAATGTTCAAAGATATTTGTACAAGGATGTTAGGAGAGCCAGGATTTGATAGACAATGGGTTCAAATTCGATTTACTGGCTGCGTGAGATCTTAGGCCGGGGACTTAACCTCTCACAGCCTCTGTTTGCTCTTTTGTAAAATGAGGATGTTAGTGATAGAGTCTACTTGATTAGGTTGTTAGGAATATGAAGTGAATCCATGTAAAGAGAGAGAGCTATTGGAGGGTTAGGTTTATCCCAGTTAACCTCAAAATGAAACACAACCTGAGAGATCCATGAAGTTGTTGGTGGGATGGAGGTGGGGAGTTAATGGTAGAAAGGAGGAACTGGGCAACCTCTCCACCACTGCCCCCTTTTCCCCCATTTCATCTTCTAACTATTTCTTGTTCTTATTCTTGATAGAAAATGCATTGGCATGATTCAAAAATCTGAACAACGTGAAGACTGTGCACTGAGAAACCTCTCCTCACCCCTCTTCCCATCCATTCCTTCTTCCTTGCACACCGCACCTAACCCTTGTTACTGGTTCTCGCTTGGCAAATATGAATATATAGTCTTACTCCTCCCATTTCTTCTTGTTTTAAATTTTCAGTCTTTTTAAATTTTAGTCATTCTTCTGTCTGCAGTTGTTTCCTATTTTGGCTTCCAGAAGTTAATTGCTCATTTGAGTATTTTCTACTGTGAGGTGCCTCTTCAGATCTTCTGCTCATTTTCTGTCATTTTCTTTGTGACTTGTATAAGTTCTTTATGTATTTTGGATAAGTCCTTCTGAAATGGAGCAAGACCCTATGGGACCTTCCCAGGACAGAATTCCCCCTCCATCCCCATGTCCTTGACCTGCCTTTTGTCTGTAGAAAAACTTTAGCTAAAGAAGAAATTTATTTTTAAGGTTACATAATTTATTTTTTTGAAACGTGAATTTTAAAAAAACTGGCTTGCAAAATTTCTGAAAATTTAACAGTAGGTTCTCATGAGCTGGTGCACGCTGACTTCAGGGCATCGCTGTATATACCCCAGAAGTTCTTAAACATTCCTGCTTGGATTTGAATATTTATACAAAACCAAGAAAATTCTCTATGTTTTGGTGATGATTTTCCTGAGCTATTGTTTGTCTGGGAAAGTTTCATCTCTCCTTCATTACTGAAGTATAACTTTGCTGGATAGAGTATTCTTGTATGGTGTTTTTTTCTTTCAGTACTTTTAATATATATATATATATGTTTTTTTTTAGATTCCGCATATAAGCAATGTCATATGGCATTTTTCTTTCTCTTTCTGACTGACTTCACTTGGAATGACAACCTCCAGGCCCATCCATGTTGCTGCAAATGGCGTTATTTTATTCTTTTTTATGGCTAAGTAGTATTCCATTGTATATGTATATCACATCTTCTTTATGCAATCATCTGTTGATGGACATTTGGGTTGTTTCCATGTCTTGGTTATTGTAAATAGTGCTGCTGTGGACATTGGGGTGCATGTGTCTTTCTGAATTATATTTTTCTCTGGATATATGCCCAGAAGTGGGGTTGCAGGGTCATATGGTAAGTCTATTTTTAGTTTTTTAAGGAACCTCCATACAGTTCTCCACAGTGGCTGCACCAGTTTATACTCCCACCAACAGTGTAGGAGGGTTCCTTTTTCTTCCACACCCTCACCAGCATTTATTGTTCGTGGACTTTTTAATTATGGCCATTCTGACCTGTGTGAGGCAATATTGTAGTTTTGATTTGCATTTCTCTAACAATTAGTGATGTTGAGCAACTTTTCTTGTGCTTGTTGGCCATCTCTATGTTTTCTTTGGAGAAATGTCTATTTAGGTCATCTGTCCATTTTTTGATTAGGTTGCTTGTTTTTTTTTTTTTTAATATTTTAAGGTGTATGAGCTGTTTGTATATTTTGGAAGTTAGTCCCTTGTCGGTCACATCATTTGCACAATATTTGCAAATATGTTCTCCCATACTGTAGGTTGTCTTTTTGTTTTGCTGATGGTATCCTTAGTTGTGCAGAAGCTTTTAATTTTATTTAGATCCCATTTATTTATTTTGGCTTTTATTTCCATTTCTCTAGGAGCTAGTTCAAAAAATATATTGCTGTGATTTATGTCCAAGAGTGTTCTGCCTATTACTCCTCCCATTTTTTATGCCAAAGGTAGCATACTGTGTACAGCTGTATCTTACGTTCGTTCACTTAACAATATATCCTGGAGCTCTTTCTAAATCAGTAAATAGAGATCTTCCTCATTCAGTTTTTCAGCTGCGGGGTACTCTGCTGCATGGATACACACAATTAACCAGCCTTTTCGAGTGGGATACTTTATTCCTAGTCTTTTGCTATTGCAAACAGTGCTGCAATGTACATGTGACATTCCGTGTATGAGCAGGTGTATCTGTAGGATTCACCTGTGCCACATATTAAAGGCATCTATAATTTTAGTAGAAATGGCCTCTGTCCCTTTTGATTAAAAAGAAAAGTTGTTAAAAATAAATTTAAAGGCACTGTGTACACATATTTTTATTCTGATTAAACATACAGAACATAAAACTTACCATTTTAACCATTTTTAAGTGTACAGATTGTTGGCTCCTAGTGCATTGACATTATTGCACAACCACCATCACTGTCCATCTCCAGAACTTTCTCATCTTTCCATCCTGAAACTCTGTCTGTTAAACACTAACTCCCTTTTCTTTCCCTATGCTAGTCCCTGGTAACGAGCATTCTACTTTCTTCCTCTATGAATTTGACTATTTATTCTAAGTACCTCATATGAATAGAATCATACAATATTTGTCCTTTTGTGTCTGACTTCTCTCTTCAAAATTCACTCACCTTGTAGCAGGTGTCATCCTTTCCTGCTCAAAGCTGAACAACATTCCATTGTATGGATAGACGACATTTTGTTTATCTGTTCATCCACTGATGGACTTTTGGGTGGTTTCTAGCTTTTGATTACTGTGAATAAGCACATTTTAAAAAACAGAGGTACGTTTCTCATTCACCCCATCCCCAAGGTCCTTACCTAAAGCAGCAATCTGAAGCCAATATTTTAGTTTGTGGTTCCAGAGTCAGTCTCTGAAAATGTAAGCATTTTAGATACAAAAAACAGCTTCCTGTACACATTGTCCTGAACCTTTTTTTTTATCTTCAATGGACAATACATCTTGGAGGTTGTCCATATTAGTACCTATTGATCTGCCTTGAAATTTTTTCCAGTGTATATTTTTAATTTCAGCTGGAGCTCTCTTC